AGGACAAGAGTGGAAAATTCCTAGGAAAGAGACATGACAGATGCTCCAGACACACCAAGTGGAACAAAGACGTCAGAAAGCTAAACTGTAAACATAAGCATTTACACATCACACTTAACAGAAATACTGTGTCTTTCTATTGCACGCACATTCATCAGGCAACTCATTCACTAAGCCAACAAGTACTATGCCACCTGGCATGTGCCAAGGTCTTCAAATAGCCCATGAAGACTAAGACATAGACACTGTCTCCTAAGATTTAAGTTAATGCACATTACAGTGTGGCAAGTGCTAAGAAAAGTGTGGTGATTCCTTAGGAACCATGGTAACCAAGGAATGGGTGGAAAGCAGGGAAGATGGATGTAAACCCCACAAAGAAAACAACATCCACATTAGCTCATAAGAATAACATAGGGTTTACAATAAAAAACAAAGATGTACAACTGTGTACACACTTCTTGTGAATGTATGTTAGAAAGTGAGTAATATACTGGTCAAGGTTGTGGCAGGAAAATGATAGTAGATACAAACAGGGAAATGTGTAATTTTTCAAGAAGGGACTTCTTACTAGCACATAAGCTAAGAAAACCTGATGTATTAATAAAGAACAGAAAGGAATACAAGCAACTGTACGAGAAAGAAGCCAGGCAAGTAACCCTCCTGCATGTGCCCTCAGCTCCCTGACTAACCTGCTCACATCTCTCTAGTTAGCAGTAGAAGGCAGTAATGGAGGTCAGCCTCCTGGGCATGCTAAGAGAAGAGGAGACAGCAGAGTTCGAGAAACAGGCAAATGCAAGTATCTCAGACAGAGCAGCAGAGACCTGCCTCTGAGAAGGGTCATGCTGAGGGACAAAGGGTAAAGGCCGAAGGCAGGGATGGGGCACACGGGTGCAGCACAGGGCCCAAAGCATAAAGCCATACCACAGTTTATGTCTGGCCAGCTTCTCAAGGTAATGTGGGTCCCTTGGAGGGCTTTGAGCAAGGGACTGGCACAAACATAGCTGCACATGTAGCACACCCACTCTGGACTCTCTGGAAAGAGACTTTATGAGGAAGTCAGACAGACCCAGGCTTGTAACTTTTCTTGCTATGTGACAGTTTCGCAGCCCAGCCAGGAGACTAGCAGTTCTCAACCTGTGGGTCCTGACACCTTTGGAAGCTGAACAACCATTTCACAGGGGTTACATATCAGATATCCTGCATATGAGATATTTATACTATGATTCATAACAGTAGCAAAATTACAACTATGAAGTAACAACAAAAATAATTTTATGCTTGGGGTCACCATCACATGAGGAACTGTATTAAAGGGTTGCTTTGTTAGGGCAGGTGAGAACCACTGCAGTAGACAGAAAGCCTCTCCACTATTTGAACACATAAATATAATGTATACAGTTATTAAGTGGCTAGTTAAAAGAATAAGAAGAACCGAAGGCTATCATAGGAGTAGCAACAGGAAGATGAAGATGCCAACACTGCAGTGAAGAAAACAAAACTTAAGAGATCCATGGGTCGACATTTAGAGTCCCAAGAATGGGGCATTCCTCAACTGCCACTCAGGAGGGAAACTGTGAAAAAGCTTCTCCAAATGTTGGATGAACAGCAACTGGAACCACAGGAAGGCACCACGCCTGAGGTGGTGGCACTGCTCATGTGACACAAACAGAACAAACATTCCTGGGAAGCAGACAAGAAGGAGCAAGTACCCTCTTTCTCCTCCACCCCATAGTCTTTCCCAGCACTACTTAGAGCATAGCCTGCCAGGGAGTCAGAGGGGGCAGGCATGTGCTCTGTAGAGTCCCAGCCCCTGAAGCATGAAACAGCGACAGAGCCATAATCTGAGGGACAATAACTTAACAGCACAGGAATCCTGCAAAAGAAACTCAACCTTCCTAATCCTCAGGTTTTCTAGTCTGTGAAATGGGTGTAAAAAATGAATAGCAAACTCACATGATTATTAAGAGCATTGAGTTAATAAAATATGCAAAATTTCATTATAGTGCCTGTAAGGGAGCAGCTATTCAATAAAAGTTAATTTTCTTGCCCTTTTCAAAAATTGCCTTTTCAAGTAAAACACAGAAGCAATGTGAGAGTTAATTAGTATATATATGGCTCTAGGAAGCAGCTAGATTTTCTCATATTTTTTAAATTATTCCTATTACGTGCTATATTGATCTCAATTTGTGTTTAATCTCTCCTTTTGAAAACTTTGTCAGTCACTCTCTTTCTGTCTTCTGGCTTTGCTCTCTCATTCTCCTGATATCTCTCTCATATACTAGCATACAGTCACATACAAACATACATATACATACACACACAGTCCTCTTCTTCTCAGAATTCTTTGTAATAAAGTAGTATATATTATAAATATACATAATATATAATATATTATAAAGTAATACATAATATTATTCATACATGTATGAATATATGTATTTATGTATATACAAATAAATAAATGTGACAAAAACCCAGTTGGCATCCAGCCACAACATGGTGATCAAGGACTAAAACCAGGAAGGAGTTTTTTCATACTGCTGACACCATTCTCATATTCCCCATTCTCCTATCTGGGGAACAGATATTTTCTCGGGTTTTATGGGTAAACTGAACCTGGCTAATAGGCAACAGAAGTGACTCACCCTCAGATATAACTGACTCTATACCCTTCACAATCGGGAGGAACTAAAGTTACAGAAAACATAAAGCCTGTGAGAATGCTGCAAAGGACAAGGACAGAGCATACCATCCTCATAGTTAGTGGTCTGGGGAATTTTTCATGCAAAGGTATCAGTGTCCCAACTGCACTTAACTAAGAAGAACTAAAATGCTTACTCCTGCCCATCTGCTTCCACACTCCTGGCCATGAAGGCCATAGATTCACCTCTGTATCTGTAAGCAAGCCCCCGAATAAGTGACTTCTTTTATAGAAGAAGAAGAACTAAAATATCAGAGGTCTTGAATACAGCACACTCTTTCAAGGCATCTACCTGAAAGAAAGGACAATAATGTCTCCCCTCAGTTCTATGGGGTATTCCTGCCACAAGTCCAACACCAGACAGTATGTCCCTTATGCAGAGAGCAAAAGATGAAGCCCTGAGGACCTCTCTGTCACAATGGAAGTGCAGAGAGAGGTATGCTGGGAAGGAAGCACAATCTGCAGCAGGATTTCTATTCCTGTCCTGTCCGCACGGCCTCTTTGGATTGAAACAAATGTATTTCTTAGGGTCTATTTGTTTTTTACTTTCAGAATACATTTTTTTCCTTTTATGAAACTCAGTGGGAAAAATACAATTCCCTTTCCAGTGTTTAAAAAAAGTCACTTTTCTGGAATGTATCTGCTTAACTGACAATTTAATAACAAACTCTCAGTGAGATGGCAGATGTTTAGATATACAATGATAAAATGAAACTTTCTCTTTGTTTTAGCAATTACTTTTATCATTTAAGAGAACGAAGTTTATTTCTATTGGTGCTCATAATGCTGAGGGACTTTATTTTTGAAGATCTGAGCTTTCCAGAAGGAAAAGCCCTGTCATAAATTTAAACATAAGTGAATCCTCAGTCTAGAATCAAAATCTGTTTAATGTCTCAAAATACCAGAAGCTTTGATTGCAGACAGAAAAAAATCATACGTTTGTAAAATTTACAACAGAGGCAGGGGAGTCCTGAGCTGTTCAGAGAAGAACATTTCTAGTGGTAACTGCTTTGTTCTGTTTCGCCGACACTGAGACACCAGAATGTGCCTCTTTCATGATAAGCTGAATGGTAGGCAGCTTTCAAATATTGACGTTGTGGTGCATTTAAAACTTGAAGTTCTGTTCCTTACTTTTCATGGTCAGGGTCTGTCTATGCAATGAGACCCACAAGAATTCTGGCCAGAGACACTAAGCAGAAGTGAGTAGCCACACTGTGTTATCTTTGAGGGAACGGCAGTTGGCACAAGGACAGAGCATGAATTGACCCTGCTAACAATTGGCTGTTTCTTTCTTTCCCTCCACCCCCACCTCCCCTGTCTGGAGTTTTAGGATAAAGAATACTATTTTATCTCTTTTGGGTTGTGGGAATTGATAGGAAAAAAAAAAATCAAACATTTAAATTTTAATTCTTCTTGGAGTAACTCATGGGTTTTTTTGTTGTTGTTGTTGTTGTTGTTGTTTGGTTTTGCTTTAATTTCTGACTTTGGTTCTTTCCCAAAGATAGCGCTTTTAAGAAAAGTAGAGTTTATTGCTCTTTAAAGAGCCCAATGTTGAGCTATAAAAACTGATTTATGCTCTAGGATATCATCATATGGTTTAGCACTAACACAGTGTAAGGCATCATCAAGGTCTTCTGTGCACTTTGGCTTTTCTTACTTCACAATATGAATTAGTTCTTGTTTCTCTGCACTTATGAGTAAGGAACTCCAAACTAAATATACTTGTTAGTAATACATAGAGGGCCATGGAAAGAAAAAAAGAGGCAAGGAGCCCAGCACAGTGGTACATTCTAGACTGGGGAAGCTAAAGAAAGAGGATTCTGTGTTCAAGGCCCGACAAACAGGACAGGAGTGGGGTGTCCCCCACTGGATAAACTGGATTCACACAGATAAAGTTTGAATTCCTAGTACCCACATAAGAGCCTGGCATGAAATTACCATGCTCAGGAAGGGAGATAAAGGATCCTTATGCCTTTGTAAATAATGTAGGAGGTTACGAAGCAAGATAAGCAATGATGTCAACTTCTGGTCTTCATATGCATGTGTACTTATACATGCATGTGCTCATATACAGGCAAACATGCATGCACATAAATATACACATACCATACACAAGTACATATCTTAAGAACAAAAAGAAGGTGAAAGAATAAGAGGAAGGGGGTTGAGAGAAAAATAGCAAGGTAGGAAGGCAGAAACAGGAACTAGAAGTCAAACACCCAAACGGTCTGAAAGCAGCAACTTCTGCTCCAAACAGGTAGGATTTCTGCATTGCCTACAAGGCTTTCGAGAAGCTTACCCATACTCATCTTGATGGGCAGGTTTTCTCTGCTGGCTGCTTCCACTAGATGTCTCCGAACTTCCATCACTGCTTCTTTGTGCTTGGTGTTCAGTAAGACTTCCCACAGGGCCTTGGCTGAGACATCACTGCAGTGAACACAAAACAGTTTAGAATAAGTTCCTACTGGGAACTGAGAAGGACTAGAAGAAAAGATAGCCTCCTGCATTTCCTTATGAGTACTAATCCCATCATTCCCACTGGTAAGTAATACCTTGATACAGAGTAGCGAACTCATTTAATGAGCAGAGTATTAAGGAGTTAAGGGGACAACATAATCAAGAGAAAAGGCTACACTGTGCCATGAAAGTACGAGAAAATCATGTATTAGATTTTTTTTTTGAGATTTTTCACTTGAAACTAGTTCACAATGCAATTCGTTGCTAAAAAGAAAAAAAAAATGAATGTCACATAAGCCAAAATTAAATGTAATGCTAAAAATGACATCAATAGTGACAGCACTGTGTCAACTTGAGATAGCAAACTGTCTGAGAAGCACAAAGAAATGCTTACTGAGAATTCTTGTACAGATTCTCAATGGACTTCCTAATCAGCAGACTTCCTACTGAATAAGAATGAGGGCTTACACTCAGTAGCAGGCCCTGAAGTATTCCACTCCAGGCCTTCAGTTGGAAGGATGGCATGTATGGAAGCCTTTACAATTAGCTGTTGATAGCAGCCCAAGCACTGCATTATGCAGGGACCCATCTGCGTTCACTTCCCACTAGCTCTCTGTCTCATCCGCCATGCTGTGTCCCCATTATAAATGAATACAGTGTTCTTTCTGGAAGGCCATTGCCACGAAGCCAAGTATACACATTTGTAGTAACATTTTCAAAAGCCAATCTAAAGGAAACAAGGGTGACTTCTGTCCTTTCCTAAGGACATCTCCACTTAAAGCCCCACTAACTCACACTAACCTCTCAGTAAGAAGGAGTAGCTCTTATTACACTCTACCCTTCCATAGTGAAGTGACAGCTTTAAACTCTCAAAACTGTTAACTCCTCCGATGGTTAGATTGGCTACCAACCTGACAGACTGAGGGATACATAGAAAATCAGTAAATCACATTTCTCATCGTATCTGTGAGGATGCTTCCAGAGGGTCAATGAATCCAGCAGAAAAGCCCTGACATGAATGTGGCTGTACTGTCCAATATGCTGGGTTGGATGAAAATAGAAATGAAAGGAACAGGTGACGCTTCAAGCCTGGGCTTGGCCCTTAAGTATGGGAATTCTGCTGCTGTTGCCACTACTTAAGGTATAAGACTCTCCATTCAACTGTTGAATACTGACTCACATCAGAGACTTACATGAAGTTTTTAGGCCTCCATCCTAGGCCTAGGGCTGGACCTTGCCCCTCACGCCTCCTCTACCTCATTCAGATGCATCCACCCTCTTCGATTGAGCAGCTCTAGCTTTCCAGCAGCTCACAGCTACTGTGGAACCCCCAGTGTGCAACTATAGAAGCCCTTTTTGTAATTATATATTCAGTCATTGTGCTTCTCTAGAGGACCCTAATAGAACTCTGCATTCATTATGCTTAAGTTTAATTAAGTAAATAAGTAAATTATATGGCATACCTTATATGTGGGGGGCGTACAGATAAAATAAACTTTCAATGATTTAAAATCTGGAAGCTGACATTTATAATAAATAAGTAAGAACATTACAAAACTGTGATACGAGTAATGAATGATGAGTAAATAGAGTCCATGTGAATATAATCCTATCTGGGAGGATAGAGACTTGGGAGCTGAGAGAAGAACTTCTACTGCAAACAACAAGCTAGGCCAAAGAAACATAAGCTTTTAGGCAGCCAAAGGAAGAAGTGATAACTCTACTCAGGACAGGGCACGTAAAGGAAGCTCAACAAGGATATCATGTCACAGTTACAAACAGGAGAAAGGCGCATTTGAGAACATACAAAGCTATACATGTGAGGCACCTAAGACTGCTTTGCTCCTCCCTGAAGAAACAAGGGTAAGACAAAGATGGTCTTCATCATAATTCAATTATGGGGCTTTCAAGAAAACACCCAATTTCTCTAAAGACTGGAATACAATAGAGAACCACTGAAGAATGCTCAGCTTCTCAAATTTATGGTCCATAACCACACCCCATCTTTTCCCATCGAAAGTACCTTTCCCCAGATCCCAGGTCTCAGCCTCAACACAAAAGCTCCGGAGTAGAGCATACTACTCTCTTTCTTTCCATGAGAATATACCTCTCATTAATGCACTGCCTCTCTAAGATTGCACGGATTAGCTAACACTACGGCTGCCCATTAGCTTACAGGAGTGACTAAGACACACACTCCAGAGTCACATAAATGTGTTGAAACTCCAAACATCATCCCCATCACCCACTCCAAATACATGGCCTGTCGTGACATCCTCTTAAGCAGATGACTTCTTTGTCACAACTGTCTGTAACTCTAACTTCCTCATTGCCTCTGTGGGAGGCACACACACACGTTTTTAAAATTAACTTTTTTTTTGTTTTTTAGTTTAAAAATTTTTGAAACATAAAACAGTTTTAAAGTATATTTTCAAATACTATCACTACATTTTCTTTTCAAAGCACTTTAGAATTTGTAAAGCTGCTTCTTTCCTAAGATTCCCTGCACTCTGCCCATAAGTCTCAGCATCTGCATTGATAGTCTGCAGGGCAGAGCCTTTCAGAGGTCCTCTGTTTCAGGCTCCTGACTTGTTCCCTCTTTTCTCCTTCTTCTGATGTCCATCCTCTTTGCCTTTCTGGATAGGAATTGAGAATTTAACAAGACTCCTCCCTTTTGATTAGTTTCTTTAGGTGTGCAGATTTTAGTAGGTTTATCCTATATTATATGTCTATATGAGTGAGTATATACTGTGTGCGTCTTTCTGCTTCTGGGACAGCTCACTCAGAATCATCTTTTCCAGATTCCACCATTTACCTGCAAATTTCATGATTTCCTTGAAACAGTAAGATCTGGAGAGGACAGGAACTCCACGAGGAGAGCAACAGAACCAAAAAATCTGAGCACAGGGGTCTTTCCTGAGACTGATACTCCAACCAAGGACTATGCATGGAGATAACCTAAGACCCCTGCGCATATGTAGCCCATGGCAGTTCAGTATCCAAGTGGGTTCCATTGTAATAGGAACAGGGACTGTCTCTGACATGAACTGATTGGCCTGCTCTTTGATCACCTCCCCCTGAGGGGGAAGCAGCATTACCAGGCCACAGAAGAAGACAATGCAGCCATTCCTGATGAGACTTAATTGACTAGGATCAGAAGGAAGGAAAAGAAGACCTCTCCTATCAGTGGACTTGGGGAGGGGCATGCATGCAGAGGGTGGAGGAAGGGAGGGATTGGGACGGGAGGAAGGAGGGAACCACAGGGGTGATACAAAGTGAATAAAGTGTAATTAATAAAGAATTTTTTTTAAAAAGCCAAAAAAAAAAAAAGAATTTATAAAGCATATTGCTCTGATCCTTTCTTCTCAGGATCTATATGATGATAGCTAACTCAATCTAAACAGCCGCAGAGAACCCAGCCACCTAACTAAAGTATACTCATCCTGAAATGGCAAAATCAGAGATCATATTCAAGTAACTTTCTAAGGATGAGGAGACTGCTCCTAGGGTAAATCACCTACCACAAAAGTGTGAACCCATAAAAAGGGAAGGAACAGTACTATCTGTAATCCTGGGCTCCTATGACAAGGTGGGAGGTAGAGACACAAGAATCCACAAAAGAGTGTGGGCCAGCTAGCGTGGTATACACAGAAATGAACACAAAAATACGTATCAAACAAGATAGAAGGTAAGGACCAACAGTCAGCGTTGCCCTCTGACCTGCAAGCATGCATAGAGATATGCACTTGTACCCTCACATATGAACATACAGAGAAAGAGTGTTTTATTTTCTTTCTGAATTTTCAAATTTTCCATATGTCTACATGTAATATATATATATATATATATATCTTTTAAAAATGAAAGGACAAAACATCGCAGTCTAAGTTGCCTAGAGAGATCATTTCTAACACTGTACTTACTTTATATTCACTACATCTTTAGAAAATATAGAAAAAAGATCCTTTAGTTATTTCTTGATTCCTGAAACTGACAGAGTGAAAGCACTTACCTCATATCCTGTTTATACTAATTTTTTAAGTGATGAGAATTAGAACCTCTGACCTTAGACAGAGGTTTGGCTCTGCTTTGCTACTGAGCCATATCCACAACCCTGTATATATCATATTTTGTTTTTCCATAATAAAAATAGTTTAAGCAGCATTAGAACTCAATTCTAAAACTCCAAGTGTCAATGAGCTTCTGGAACTCTGAATAATTCACTTGGTCTTCCTGGAATGTTGTATTTCTAACAGGTGTGATGTCATTTTCATTTACTGAGAACTGTGTCACAAGTAATATGACAATCATATCTTATGGAACAGCAGTTCTCCAGGGTATAATAACCCCATCTCAGAAATAAAGAAGCACATTCTTTATGAAGATTAGTTTGGAGTCCCTCCAAGCTTCCACAAGATTCTGTTGAGTCTTCCTGCCTTTATGATCCCTGTCTCAAAAGGCATAACTTTTCTTTTTTATCTCTTTTCTGTCTCTTTCTATTGGATGCTGGCCAGGGCCTAAGTTTTTTATTTGTTTGTTTGTTTTATTTTTTGTTTGTGTGTTTATTTGTTTGTATTTTGGGCTTTTAAACTCCTTCCCTAAATATCTCCTCCCCCTGATTGGCTGCTTTTCTGCTGTATGGCTAACCTCCATGCCCTAATTCAAAGGGTATGGCTTTCTCTCTCCATCTTCCTCCTCCAAGAAGCTGCTAAGATTGACAGCTTGTATATTTTGTGAGTTTTTCTTTTAGATTCTGATAAAATTGTCCTTATGCTAAAAAAAAAAAAAAAAAAAAAAAAAAGGACAGGAGATTGGTTTGTCCAAGTTACATAATCAACACACTGTTATTTAAATCCATGCAAACTCTATATTAAGCTTGATTGTACATAATTCTGTAAAAGAAAAGAAACTAGAATGCCAGCATCTGAGGATAAAACTCTACCACTTTGGGTCCTCCAGATTCAAATGTA